CTTATGGCGTAAGTTCGTTCTAGTTGCTAAGGCTAGCAACAATATTGTGATCATTAAATTTGGTAAATTAATCCATTGTTTGTACAAATAGTAACTGTAAAAGATCTAGAAACCTTTTCTCCTTTTTTTTCTTCGTTGAAACAAGTCAGCTTCACATCTCCTCTCATCTGAATTTTGAATATTGTCATATATAAAATTGTTTTTAGATAGCAATATATATAACAATATAACTATGTCTATAAAACTATATATATTCCTTCATTGATGGAAGAGGGCAAGAGATTGATTTTCAATTTGTGGAATGACAATCCAAATATCAGCATTTGGGCTGATGCTAGAAGCTGGAAATCAATCAAACTTTTGCATGTGGATGACAAGAAATCAATCACCTGAGTCTTTGTATCTGTCTCCCAGAGTTCACAATTAGCTGAAAGTTGGAGTCAAGCAGTAAGGCAGGTGCTAAACAGGACAGTCTCCTTTGGGATGTGTGTTAAACCACTAGGTCCAATGCTTACCTGTTGAGTATGATTGCTCTACAGAAATGTATCTTTGGCATATTTTACCTAATTACTTTGTTGAATCTCATGATCTATTGTAATCATGTTATATAGTTTTTTTTCCCCTTTAAACGTGTTGTCTGTTCTCCATTGCTTCTATCCGAGCATAAACTTAAAAAGTTAACCTTTTTTTGGGCCCGGCGCGGTGGCGCAGTGGTTAAGGTCCTCGCCTTGCACACCCAGGGTCCCATGTGGGCGCCGGTTCTATCCCGGAAGCCCCGCTTCCCATCCAGCTCCCTGCCTGTGGCCCAGGAAGGCAGTCGAGGACAGCCCAAAGCTTTGGGACCCTGCACCCGCGTGGGAGACCCGGAGGAGGCTCCTGGCTTTGTATCGGCATAGTATCGGCCGTTGCACTCACTTGGGGAGTGAATCATCGGATGGAAGATCTTGCTCTCTGTCTCTCCTCTCTGTATATCTGCCTTTCCAATAAAAAAATAATAAAAATAAATCTTTAAAAAAAAAGTTAACCTTTTTTCCCTTTTCTTGACTTCTACTTCTAAAAACACTAGGAACCTACACATGTTATCTTGGTTAAAATTTGAGGAGTGTCATTTTCTGTTATTTTAAAGATTTTACTTATTTATTTGAAAGGCAGTGTTGGAGAGACAGGAAAGACAGAGAAGTCTAATTGTGTTGTTTAAAATAAATGAAATCATATGCCGTCATTTACTTTTTGTTTACTTTTTCTTCCAGCTTACAAAGTTTTATTCAAATTTACTCAAGTATGGTATGTCTATCATTCTAGTTTCCAATAAAACTCAAAGCATTTCTTATGCAATGTGTACATGTGGAAATTGCCCTCACAAAATTTTGGGAAAAAATTGTAGGCTGTGTGTGTGTGTGTGTGTGTGTGTGTGTAGGGAAGCTGCTATTTTCGTCAGGCAGAAATGCAAAGAATCAAGCTTGTTTCTCTCAGAAGACAGAATTGCACCAAAATTAAGGACCTGTAGAGATTTTAGAATCACAAGATTAGCCTCTCAGTATTGCAAGCTCACATCTGCAGTGACTATAAATGCCAAAAAGACCTAATTTTGCTTCAATGCAAGTGCGATTTATTTTCTAGCATTGACACATGGAAATAAATTTTGGTTCTCTGGATAAGCTTATATAGTACTTGATTTTTACTGTATCTTTTCCCACTAGACAACTGGAAAATAACACACCTATTCGGGTTGATACCACTGTGCACTAATGCCTATATCCATAGGAGTATTTAAATATTGCTTCATGGTATTTCATATTTTCTCCAGTTAACCTGCTTTCACATTTTCTTCACTGTTCATTTCAAGTATTTTCTATTTTTTGTCCCATTAAACCCACCATCTCCCTGAATTATCTGCTGTTTTAGAGAAAATCAAAGGTTCTACAAGGTGACTTCTTCAACTTTTTGCCACCAAAGTTACAACTTCACTCATCTGCAGTCATCTTCTTTCCCTGTCCCTTCTTTATGCTCTGTACTGTGTCCATCATACTTGTCTTTCATTTGTCCTTGCAGTTTCTGTAAGAATTATTCCCTCCTGATTTAGACAAGCCTAGGTATTTCCCGTGTTACTCTTCACACATCTTTACATGCATATGAAATTCTAAAATAATGTTATTGATGAAATCATTTTCTCATTAATGCGATTTTTCTCTTATATTAGTATACATAATCCCAGTTAATTTTTGGAACACATACATCAGCAAAGCTGTCAAGGATATCTCCAATTTAATATTTAAACAAGAGATTTGGCTAGACCTCTTCACCATTCGTCTTCTCACTATCTGGTCCTCCTGAATTCCGTTCTCATTCCTTAGATCAGACATTCTTTTCACTTCTTTTCCCAGGTCATTAGCAGAGAGTTGCATTTAAGATGGAAAAGCCGAAATACAAATCAGCACCTACGTGGGCTGTCATCTCAGATAACAGCTTTACCCATTATACTGATAATTTATTCAGCTTCACTCTATGAATTCCGAGCACTTGTTATATTGCCTTGTACCTACATTGGATTCCAGTATGCTGGTTAAAGTATTTCATTAGAAGTGATATGTGGCACAGCAGCTGTGTCTCCTCTTGGAGCAAAACTCCATAACCTGGTTCAAGTCCTGGGCACTCTGCTTCTAATCCCATTTCCTGCTTATATGCATCCTAAGAGGCAGTAGATTATAATTCAATTTCTTGGGCTCTTATTGCACAATGGAGACATAATATTGCCTTGCAGTCTCCTGATTTCCATCTTTCCCTGACCTGGATGCTATACTTACTGGGGAGGGAAACAGCAGATGGAAAGTCTTTCTCTGTCTCTTTTTATATTTCTCTCTGCCCTCTGTAAATCAAATCAAATGAAAATAAGTTAAAAATAGTCTTTAAACTTTTGGAAAGTATAATAATTAAATATGGAAACTTTAGTAATAATTGAAATTTGAACTGTATATGACTCTGCAGAACAGTTAGTTCTGAGTTATATTTTCACATTTTCCATAAATATCTGAGTATCACACAATATGTTTCAAAAACTCTTGGAAATGAGGCTAAAAGAGTGTGTTTTCCTGTGTATGTTTTTGAAGCCATGTACATCAGGGGAACAGAAAAATAAATTTTTCAATTAATTTTTCAGGCATCTTTATATGTTCCTTTAAACTTATGTTTTATTATTTTTAAAATTTGTGGGGTTTTTTTATGGAAAGACAGATTTTCACAGAGATCAGGAGAGACAAAGAGAGAAATTTTCCATCCACTGGCTTCTTCCCAAATAGCTATGGCAATAGCCAGAGCTGCGGGGATCCAATGCTAAGAACCAGGTTCTCCCACATGAGTGCAAAGGCCCAAGAATCCAATCTATTCTCTTCTGCTTACTCAGGCAGGCCATACACAGGTACCTGGTTTGGAAGTGGAACAACCCAGACATGAACTGGTGCTTATATGGGATGTGGGCACTGCAGACAAGACAGCCTGATGCACTGCTGTGCCAGCCTAACTTACATTATAATTTACAAGTATTTATTTCAAAGATAGTAAGAGAATAGAAAAGGGAAGATAAATTGAGGTAAGGAGAAAGGAGGAACACAGAGAAAGAGAGGGAAGGAGAGAGGGAGAGAAGGAAATAAGAAGAGAGAGAGAAAGAGAGAGAGAATCTTCTGTGCGCTGGTTCACTCCAGAAATGGTTGTTAACAAGACTTGGTGAGACAAAGCCAGGATCCGGTATCTCCATCATGGTCTTTCATGTGTATGCCAAGACCATCATTTGTATCTGGACCATCATTTGTTGTTTTTGCAGGTGCATTAGAGAAGACTGGTAGGAAATAGAACATCTGGGAGTAAAACTGGCATTTAAATATGGGATGACATATTCTCAGATGACATGTTAGCAAGCCATGCTATAACACTGGGTCCCTAAACAAAATTAAATTAATTTATGATAAGCAGAACTTTGTTTTTAAAAAGTGATGTGAATTCAGTCTCTATTACTTTAATTTCTGTCCATTAAGACATTAAGTTTGGGTCCTGTTACAACGGCTCAACTGTATAATCCACCCCCTTCAAGTGCTGGGATCCCAAATGGGTGCTAGTTCTTGTCCCAGTTGACCCACTTTCCACCCAGCTCCCTGCTTGTGGCCTTAGAAGGCAGTACAGGTTGGCCCCAAACATTAGAAATTTAAACTGATCTGGGTGACCCAGAGAAGGTCCCTTGCTCTTGGCTTTAGATTGGCTCACCTCTGGGCATCGTAGTCAGTTGGAGAATGAATCAGTGGATGGAAGATATTTCTCTTTCTTTGTCCTGTCTGTAGGACTGCCTTTTCAATCGATCAATCAGTCAATCAATCTTTAAAAAGGATATTCGATTTGGTATGAAACCCCAACTTAACCATATTCTACAATGACATAGATAGTTTAACACTTGTACTTGAAGAAAGATGAGATAATACCAGAAAGAAGATTATTGTTTGTTGGTACTTCACTTATATTAAAGCTTTGAGTAAAGAGAATGACAGGAGACTGCAGTAAGTTGTTGATTTACAGTGTTATAGGATAAAAACTATTGATGAGATTGTGATTATGCTAAGATGGGTCAGATCAACAAACCTAGGCTTATTTTTTCTTTTATATTTTTCCCATTGTAAGTCCTCAGCTGTTGATAACTTTCTTGTTAAAGGGTTAAATACTGTAGTCTGTTGTCAGAAAAGATTTATGTTTTCTATTTCATTGAAGAGCTTAGGAAAAGCTTAACTGACTGTATATTTTTCTGTTTAAAGGATTATTTGAACCATGAAGACCCATTATTGATCAGATCCCACTTTCATCATAGTACCTTGCATTTTGGAAATAGAAAATATGCAAACTCCCAAGAGTCTCTGAACAACAAAAACTGCTTGGACATATTCAGTAACAATCGAAATATGGTTTAGTAGCAATTCTTGAAGACACATTAATGATAGACTGTAAAATAAAATTTCTACAAAATGACGAACAAATCAATGTTGGTTCTGAGTTTATTGGTTCTTTACATCTCCTCTGTAAATGGGAAAGCAACATGCAAACCTCCATTGGTTCAAGAATGGCATCCACAGCCCGCATCATATATTATAAATTGGACACTAAGAGAAAATATCTGCATGGACTTCTACGAAGACTGCTGGGGTTTGGACATGAACACTAAAACAAATATGTTAGACAATAAAGTTGTACCCCAGATATGTCCTTTGCAAATTCAATCAGGGGACATCCTGGTGATTTCTACTGAACCATCTCTTTTGGAATTAAATTTGATGAATGTTTCTGAAGCATCGTTCATCAGTTGTCAGCAAAATAGCACGAATGAAGATCAGTTACTTTTCGGTTGCAAACTAAAAGGCATGTACACAGTTAATTCTCGGTGGCTGGATATTGGAACTCATTATTTTATCTCAGTAGTGACAAGTGGTCCATCACTGTGTCAGATGGGACTTCGACTAAATGTGACAGTAAAACAACAGTTTTGCCAAGAATCCCTAGGCCTAGAATTTTGTTCTGGGCATGGTAAATGTCTTAGTGAAATTTGGAGCAAGTCATATAGCTGCCATTGTCAACCTCCATATTCTGGAAAATACTGTGAGAAACTTGATGCATGTTGTTATAAACCATGTAAAATTAATGAAAATTACAATGAAACAAGAGGAACATTGAATAATCAAGGCTGTGAATGTATTTGCCTTTTAACATTTACAGGTAAGGTTGCTTTGTAAAAAAGCTTTGAAAAAAAGAAACTCACAATTTTACTAGCATATGTAAACAAATGTATAAAGTTTTGCTTTCCAAAAAAGCTAGTTACATTTTTTTAACTTTATGTGTGATCATTTGCATAACATGTAAGTCACTGCTTGGCATACTCATATCCTGTGACAATCTGAATCTCTTCTGATTCAACTTCTTGCTAATGTCAATCTAGGATTCAGATGAAAGGTCGAATACCTGGAACCCTATCAGCTACATGGAACCTGATGGAGTCCAGATTCCCGACATCAGTCCAACACAGCCAAGGCTATTAACAGACTTTTGAGGAGTGAACCAATGAATGAAAATTTTTCTTTCTGTCCCTCTGTTTTTCAAATGAAATTCTTAAAAACAAGCAAAAAAATCTAGATTTCATTGATTGAGCTAAGTTTACATTCTTGATGTGTTGAAATCCCCTTGAGCATTCCCTGAAATATTATTTTACATGTTAATCTGACTTCTTAGAATGCGTATACTTCAGGCTGATGTGCCGTTTTCACATCTTTCTCAACATTGGCTTTTTAATATGTCATACATTCAAAAAGATTATAAGAGCATTGTAGCTATTTGTAATCATTGATTGGCATTTCTAAGCTTGTGATATTGGGTAAAAATGTGAAAATGAAGAATGCATATGAATTGAGAAGGTTAAAGATTTATATGATTGGGGAGATAGCATTAAAGCTGCTTGGTCAGTTAGACAGATAAAAGTAATTGTGACCTGAGAAGAATTTTCCTTATAAGTGATGGTGCAGTATTACCAATGGACACTAGCATAAAAAATTAGAAATAGAATAATATAATTAAAAGGTAGTTAAGATAATTGATGGACAATGATGAGGGAACAAAGTAAGACAAGTTGGTATTGAAGCCAGAATAATAGTCATCAGAAAGCACTGTAAATTCATGCTGAAATGTTAATTTCCAAGTATCTCTGAGTGCTATCATACTGAAGACAAAATCCTTACAGAAGTAATAAAGGTTTAAAAAGGCCCCTAGTGTGGATCGTAATGCAATATGACTGGTATCTTATGATCAGATGTAAATTCTTTTAAGATATTTTCTATTACCTATGGCGATAGTGAGAGCTAAAGGAAATATATATTGTGCAAGCTAATGAGTTTACGAGGGGAAATTCAAGAAAATTTGAAGTGAAGGAAGCAATATTAAAGTGTAGGACATGTTTAATTTGTGGTTATGAATAAAATAATTCGTTTGAACAGGAGTTCCACAAACTGGGCGTGAAAAAGTGCGAGAGAAATGTGTGAGATCATGATGATCTAAGAGAGGAGAATATTTGACATGATAAGTAACAGCAGTATGTGAAAACTCATAAGAATGATAGCACTTTGGTCATGAGAAAGGAAGAAGAACGAGCAGCAAAAAATGTCTGATGTGGCTGACACTCAGTACATAGCTGTAATTTTATTAGAAAAAATTCTGGAGACTTCAAAGGGATTTCTCTCCCATGGTCCTGGGACTGAGTCCTTTGAAAAGCTTTGAAGAGGTCATGGTATCAGATTTGATGGAAGACCACAGCAAGTCACTGTAGGCTCCCCACAGCTCATGTAAGCGAATACTTCGAAGAATAATTTTAGATTTGGGAATTATATCAAGGACATTACAAAAGTTTGTCTCAGCAATCTCTGCTGAACATCTCTCTGTGACTGCAATTCAATTTTCACATGACTACTGGTAGAAGAGTCCTGGCTCATCCTGAGATCTGTCAGATAATTAATATTGAGGCTATTTTGAGAAGAAATGGGAAAGCATTTAATTTGTTGGCTTGGGTGAATAAGAAGGGCAATTCAAGAATTTCTGAAGGATACATTTTAGTCTATCTGTATATTTCAGGAACATTTGGCTAGAAATTTCAGCCATGTATACCGTGGTGTGAATTAGCATGCATACATCCCTATTTTATTTAATATTATATTACTGTTTTTATAGTAATATCATGAAATGGTATAATTTGTACTGAACATTTATTTGCTTTTTATTAAAAACACAATCAGAATGCTTAAAAATTAATACACTTTAAACACAACAAGATCTCCAAATATTAGCATTGATAAAATACCAGCCCACTATGCTGCCCAACTTATAAGCAGTTCTACACTGAAATCTCAGAAAATACAAAAATGTAGAAATTTGCTTATTGAATTACTAAAGAAATTCATTCTGCTCACTCTATTAGTTTGCAATGGCTTACAAAGCAAGAGACCAGAGACTGGGCATCCTGAATCACAGAAGCTTCTCTGCTCATAGTCTGGAAGATAATATTGCAAGAATGAGATGTTGGCAGACCGACTTTTTTCCTTCAAACCTCTCTCCATAGTTCATAGACTTCCATTTGTTCCTGGGCCTAACTTTCTCTTCTCTGTTTCTGTGTTCATGTTTTCACTTATCATAAGATTCCAGTCATACTGAGTTAGAATCTACCCTGCTGCCCTTTATTTCAGCTTGATTACTTATGTAAGAATTATATCTTCAAATACAGTAGTTCTCTAAGAAATCAGGTGTGTAAATTTCATGTATGCATTTTGATAGTCACAATTAAGCTAAGTCAGAAATAGATTGTCCGCTATTGAACATTCAAGTGTTAATATAGCTTTTTGTATTGGGAGAACATTTTACAACACAACCGTATTTTCATTACATTGTGTCATTACATTGTTTTACTGGAACAAACATTAAAAATTTAATCAATGTGAAGCTCATAAATTATAATAATAAAGTAGTACTAATATTTAAGATCTCAATTAAATGGGAGAGCAAAGATATTATTATAAAAATGTCATTGTTTTCTAGTAATATTTGTTTGCTCCTACTTGGAAGTTTCTGCAATGCACATTCATCTATTAATGGCATTATAAAATTAATATGTGTATAAAAATAAATATGCTGCACAGAGCTAGGATATAAAATATAGTAAGATTTAGAGAACCTGATATTTCAGGAGAAGTAAGTATACTCATCTTCCATATTGACAGATTAAATACTCAAATTATGAAAACAGACTAAAGGTCAAATATCAATCATCAGAAAGGATATAGTTTTATTTTACTATGTACTTAGAATAAAAATACTTATGGAAAGTAGCAAAATTAATTTGTTACTTTAATATGTGATACTTTCATAGTTAGCGTTATATATTCTCAAATTTTGGTTATTCATAATTAAAGTACTGGGGAAATCAATGGTCATAATTAACTGTTTATATTCAATGTAAATACTTTTTTATCTTATGGATACTGATTTAATTTCATGTTGATAGGCAGAAATCATTTGGAAATAATTGGCCAATATCAATCACACATCTGTTTCCATGGAAACTGCACCAGTATTACTGAAAAGAGTCTCATTTATGAATGTGATGAACAGATTTCAGGTAAAATATACTTGATATAATTTTTAATATTTTTCTTATTTATTTTAAAGTAAATTAGAAATGCTTTAATTTCCTATTGAGTTTTGAGATTATGTACTGTGACTCCTTATGGAAGAATTTAATGATTTGGTTCTGTTAATACAATCAAATTATTACACTGCAAAATATTCTGCAAAATACATTTCAACACCTTTTCAGACATTTTTTCACCATGATAAAATTTTTTTCTGAAGTAGTCACATATTTTTAGAAATAATGTGCACTGTTTACACATAATTTATCTAATTATGCCCAGGTTGGACTTTAGATAACATGTCAATAAATAGTTTCAAAAATTTTTATTCCATCTCAAATGAGTTGAATATGCTGAAATGAAAACCCTGTTTAAATCAAGATTTCTCTTAAAAATTGGTCAAATGGTTCATCAATGAAAGGTTTTGTCCTTGTTGGTGTTTTTGCTAGGATTAACAAATGAATAGACTAACTTTGGGAGAATTAAAATATTTATGATGGTGCATCTACTTATCTGCCAATTGTTTGGAATTCAGTGTATCTTTTAACAGAGGTATAGAATTTTCCTCATACAAAATTTTATGTTTCTTATTACAGCCTTTTCCCTGGAATTTTGGTCATTATTTTAAGTGATGTCTTCTCATTATGATATATTTGAATTGATTCATATTCATTAATAATAAAGTTACTGCTTATATGAAAAAAAAAATAAAGGTTTTGTCATACCATTTCTTGGAAATACAGCTTGCTCTCAATTTAATTCTCCTTTTTCAAAAATGTGTGTTGGAGATGTATTTCAGCTGCATGTAGACACCTAATATTTTCTTTTGTATAAGTGAAAGTGTATCTTGCTATCAAGTTCCAGAGAATGGGAGTTTCGGAAAGCTTTTCTTATATCGCTTACCACCTGGCTTGCAAAGTATTTGAATTTTGGTGTAGTTCACTAGTTATTTTTTCAAGACAAAAAATTTTGGTTCCTATAAAGCAGAGTGAAAGAATGAACTCCTTTTCAAATAAAAGTTTTAAAAATACTTTTTATTATTAATGTGTTCAATATGTTTGGATTCAGTTGTTAAATCAAAGCATGCATATGAATGATGGTTGGGATGTTTATCTTCTAAGCCTCTACATTTTTAAGCCAAAGTAACAGCTAAAAAACAGTTATAACTGTAATATTTGAAATATTTATTTATTCAGTTATAACTAATATCATTCAATGAGAAGGCATAATATAGCTCTACTAAGTATTTCTTTTGACTAAATTTTTTTCATTATTTTAATTGACATTTGACATTCAATGTGGTTTGTGGTTGTGATTCTAAGATGATGATATGCTTTTCTTTCCTCTCTTTCTTCTCTCCTCACTTCCTGCTTCCTTCTCCCTACTTTAACTTGTGAGATAACATATTTCAGATATACATTATAAATGGTTTAACACTTCACAGAATAATATTAACATATAAAGGCAAAAATACTTTGCATGAATACAGACAACAGCTACAAGCAATGATGGAGGAAAAATTTTCATTTCATGCTGTACAGTAAATCATAAAGAAATCACAGATTATTAAACTATAATAGAATAAACTTTTTAATCATTACTTTATCAGGTCACGCTGTTTTTTGTGAACTGCCTAAGGCACTTACATCTTCCAAGATTCTTTAATGTTTTCAAAAATATGCTTTCTGTAAATAAGGGCATTTTAAATTCCATATAGAAGTATGCACAAGTTTGTATTTGATTATTATATTATACTGGCACTATTGCATTTTATTTTTAAAAATCTACTGGTTCACTCTTCCAATAGTTGCAAAGGCTGAAGCTGGACTGGTCTGAAGCCTGGTGCCAGAATCTTCTTCCAAATCTTCAGCAAGGATATACTCCCCAGCACTTGGGCCATCTTCTGCTACTCAGCCAGGCACATTAACTATCTAGGAGTTAGGGAAAATTGAAGAAGTTGAGAATTGAACCAATGACCATATGGGATGCTGCTCTCACAGTTACCCACAGTGCCACATCAAAACGCATTCCCAGTTTTCTTAAGAGAAAATTATAGCAATATTTCACCTGTAGAAAATTAACTATACATTTTACACAAAAGTGCTTTATCAAGTGAAGGGCTATTTCCGTCACAATTTCTTCAGTAGTTTTAAGCAGAATTTAATGGCATACTTTCTCAAATTCCTTTTGTACACCTATTAAAGCAATCTTTTTGTATTTCCTCATTGGAGATTTGCATGTTTGAACCATGGAATCCAGCCTTGCATCCTAGGGATAAATTTCAACTGGACAAGATACATTACAGCTTTCATATGCTTCTATACTTAGTTGTTAATATTTTGCTGTAAATTTTACCTATATTCAGTTTGAATGATATGTCATAGTTTTCCAGATGTTTTACAAAGTGAGATATAATTGTTATAATGAGTTTTGCTTTTGTAATAGACTCTACACATTTTCTTGTATAAATGTTCAATGTCTTTCATTAGAATATTCATTCTATTATGATATTGATTATTAGAAAACTTTTGAGTTATGCCATATTTGGGAGGTTGTGATTTTTAAGGGGTTTTGTTCATCAGACTAACATTTGTTATTGCACTTTTGCTATGATATTCATAATATTGTTTAATTACTCATCTAATTTTTGCAGTATATGAGTTATACTCACTTAATTCATGCTGTGATAATTTGTTTTCTCTCATTTTTAAAATTTTTATAGCATAAAAGAAATCTTTAACCTATCATTTTTGGTTAGTTGATTTCTCGAGGGTTTCTGATTTATTCCCTGCAAATTATTAGTATCTCTTTTCTACTTATATTTGGGTAAATTTAATCATGTTTTTGCTTTATATTGGGATAATTTTGTCAGTTTTTGGTTTTTCTTTTTCATAAAATTCAGCGTTTACATTATTAACCCTCATAGATATTATCTCCTCTGATTTAGTAGTTTCTATTTTTATGTTGGCAATACTATAGTGAGCAGAAATTTTTCTTGTGCTTCTATTTACAGATTGTTAAATTTCTCTAACTCATAAGGTAATAATTTATACAAATTCTGAGAATTTAGGGTCATTATTATTCAATTAATTGTTATTGTCAAAATTTCACTCTTTTCCTTCTACAGTTATAGTTATACTAGGGTCATTGTCTTCCATCCATCACTGAGTGTGCATTTTTCCAAAACATTTCACAGATTAAATCATTTCTATTGACATATTTTATGATTAACTTATATTATCTGATTCTGCTTGTTTTTTCACTCTTCAAAAACTCTGAATATGTTTTGCTCATATTTTTTACAAATCTTTTACAGTTTTCTTTGAGATATCATTTCAGAAAATAGTGGCAAGTATAAAAGAATTGTAAATGTCAATGTGGCTTTCTCTTATGCTGTGTTCTTTTTTATCTTCAGATCTTCTTGCTGATTTGGTTGCCACTGGCAATTCTTGAGTGAATCTAAACAGTGGTGTTCAAGTAAAAATATGTAGTTTTGGACATTTAAATTATATGTAAAATACTTATTTTAAGTGATTTTGACTTTACCTTATTATGGTAATTCTGTAAAAAAAAAGTGAAACTCACCAACTTAAATGAGAAATTTTGAATAACTTGTGTCCCATCCAGAGTGTGGTCTTCAGGGAAATGGAATTGAGAGACTGAAAAAATGAAAATTATATACATTTTTCCCACTTAATTTTCCAAGGCACTTTCATGGACTTTCTTTACTTTTCAATAACTATAATTACTTTCTCTTTGCTTTTGTTATAAAGTGCAGCGAAGAATGGAAAATTATGTAAATTTAGCCAAGAAACACTGGTATTTTGTACATATTTTAATTATTTTGTAACGACTTGTTTATTTTCATTTGTAAGGAAGTTTTCACAGAGAAACAAAGAGGTCTTGGTAAAAATCACAGACATTCATAATACTAGTAACGTTGCAATTAAATTTAGCTCTTGCTACTTTTGCTATTGCATGCTATAACATTTTCTTATTTAATATTTACATCTTCAATTTGCTGACATACTTGATCCAGCATGTTTTCTTTTAAAACTTATATTATATGAACATGTAAATATCTTGGAACACATTTCTGAATTTTCCTCAACATTTTCCTAAAATAACCATCATTTCTAATGAAATATTTGTAGTGATTCTGCTGAGAAATTTAACACATTCTCATCTATTGCTCATACATCTTTTCTAAAGTGAAGTCTGCCTTACTTTCCTTTGGTTCTACTGATTTAAAGATTCCTGATAACAAAATTCATAATCTAGCAAAATGTCTAGCCCCATTTTACAGCACATAGACACTATGGAGTAGATATTTCTTAGCAAACAGCATAGGAGATATTTAGAATATTGTTAAATGGATTTCAGACATTCCCCACCCCTGGCAAAATCTGAACTCACAGGACTATATTGGATTATTGTTCACTCTTATTATCATATATAGAAAGAAATGAATCCCAGATTTCTCACTATGTTTTATTTGAACTTCAGTTCTCAGAAGCAATATTGAAAGAAATGTTTCATTTCTTTGAAATGAATTCTATGGTTGTGCTACAGATGGCCATATGGAAATTTGAATGCCTGCTTATTTTTGACGTACAGTATGCTCAGTTTTAATATTAACTGTGAAAATTACAGGGCTGCTTTCATTGTTTTTAAATTAAGGGGAAAAAGTGCAATCACTATTTATAGCTTGGTAATATTGGATGCACCGTGCTTTCTCTGGTAGAATGTTGAATTGGTTATCATCTGTGACAGATGTTCCATACATTGATGTAATTTTGCCTAGATAATTGTGACAATTTTCCAATTCCTAATTTCTGGTTTCAGCGGTTTAATATCATTTAATGATAGCATGTAAATGACTCATGCTTTTCTTGTATTAAGTAATCTCTGATGGTAAAATATAAGTCTTACATTGAGTTCTTGATTTCTGTTGGGGTTTGCATATTTCATTCTTTGTTCAACTAAG